TGGAGTTAATCAGCCACCACCTGCTCAAGCCCCTTACCTAGGAAGAGAATATTGGCACCTGGCCTATAGCTGTTCTCATCCTCTGGAACCAAATTTGGCTTCTTTAGGAGCAGCCTGATCACCACTTGGCATTTATGACCTCCTGGACCCAAATGGACAGACCCTTCATACTAGATTTGATAAGCCAAGAAGGGCCACTCAGACTGGCCATTCAGCAAAGCCAAAATAGGACTTTACAATATCTTAAATCGGCAGTTGCCTGTTTTGATATTGCTGCTAATACATGAAACTTTTATTTTCCAGTCATAAATTATCTGTTCACACAGAGAGAACTGCTTACTCAAGACTTAAGATAATCTTTGGCATTCAAAGGACTTCTACCAGCATACCTATTCACAAGTAATATATCAGTATATACTGGAAGTTATTTAGCCAAAGTTGAGCACTGCGGTTGTAAAGTATTACACTATCATTGAAATATCTGTTGCTTCTTACCCTCATTAGCAGCTCCCGGCTTGTCAAATAGTTATCATGATCTGAGAAAATTTCTGACAGTTCTTCAAACATCAACATTCTGTCTCTGTACAAAAGAAAATGGAATGATTTTAAAGTAAGCTAAATGACAATTTGCTCCATTAATTAAAATTAGGCTGTAATGATGCTATCATCTTGTCAAGACATATGTTTGTTTTAGGACCCAGGGAAATCCCCAACTATACTTCCTTTTTTAGGTAACTGTATAACCAAGAAGAATATGATTCATCTAAGAATATGATTCTAACATTCTAAGAAGAATGTTAAATGAGAGAAAGTTCATTGTACTCTCGTGATATTTTTCCTGATGCAATAGCCCAATCCATTCCCCAAGCTGCTATGTTCTCTGAAGTGTGAAACACGCAGGCATTTATATTCTACTTTTTGTTCAGAAGCTTAAAGCAGTGGAGATAGCAGTTCCTCCTCCCACAACAATTTTGTGAAATAGACTAGGCTGAGAGAATGCGACTGGCCAAAATCATCCAAAGAGATTCCATGGCTGAGGGTGGACTAAAATTTGGATCTCCCCAGTCTGAGTCACATTCCTTAACCATTACACCACACTAGCTCTCATTGATAATGGATTTCCTAACTTCTGTTTGCTTCTTCAGTATGGAGACTTGGAGAGAATTCAGATACTTTTGTATCTGAGGAACTGTAGAGAGACAGTCATACCACAGCTAAATTAGGCATCCTTAAAGAAGTTTCTGAGCCAGACTGCTAGTCACTAATTAAAAGTCTTGCTTTTGCTGGTTATTGACTGCTTTCAGTTTTCTCCCATCTGCATCAACTCTACAGGAATTGTAAATTATAGATTTCCATGACTGAAGCCCCAAAAGCCAAGGATGCTTATAGGGTGGTGTGACTAGCAACTGCCAAAGAATAGGTGGGAAATTGATGAAAATCTTACTTTGCAACACATGCCCAGCTCTTCTTTAACCGATAGATGGAGTTGGACTGAAGTGCTGAAACAATGGCTCTCAAAGAGGAGAAATTCTTAAGGATCCTACATTCCTATAAAGGGAATGAAAATGAAACAGAGGAGGGTTAAATATCACTGAAGTGTGATCTTTTACACTCTTTTAGGAGCATTCTTGCTCTAATTTCTTACTTAAAACAAAGAAGCTATCACCTGCATAAACAACGACCAATTCTTTAAAAAATATGTGTTGTCTTTCCTGGTTTTGAAAATACTTTGTAGAATTTGGGTTACTTTATTCTTGCTTTCTTCATCTTTTACTTAGTGATTTTTAAATCAATTTTATAGTTTCCATCTTTCACAACTAAAATGTGTAAAAATCTGCATAATCAGAGTGAAAATAACTAAATTTTCTAAATTTAATTTAAACTAAATAAAATAACTAAATAGAGTCACTTTTTGTGAGATGGGCGGTATCTAAATTTGAAAGGTAGGTAGGCAGGCAGGCAGGCAGGCAGGCAGGCAGGCAGGCAGACAGACAGATGAATGTAATCTACACAAAATATTGTTACCTCACGAAATGCAAGTATTCAAATTACAGACCACTTTTATTGATCACGCAGAAAGTACCGGGCCTGGAAAGGATTGGAATTACTTCCCAAACTAAATCGATTAACAAATGTCGAAGCCTTTGTACTATCCAGGGAAAGTTGATTCTGTTCTATATCACTTTCAAGGATGTCTGATATGCTGTGCCCAAAGCTTTTCTACCCCTTGCCCAATATTATTGAAAAAACACCCAGAAAGACAGGGGTTAGAAAAACCCTGATGTTTATGCATGCTGTAATGGACATATACACAATCTAGCATTTGTATAAAGAGCAAGGAGACAAATGGAACAAAATGAGTCTTTACGTGGGCAATATTGATCCACTTCTCTATGATCTTGGCTCGCTGATGTGTTTTCAGCTCCTTGCCATTCAAAACGGTCCTGATGACGCATTTGGTGACTGCATTGAACTGTGCAATGGTAGCCCTGATGGTGGGAGCCAGGTGTTTGTTTTCTTTCTTATCTCTCTGAGACCAGATGCAGCCCAAACAGTGGTGTGGCACCACTCTTTTAAACAGTTTCTGGAACAACACATAAAACATCATGTCAAGGTGATAAGAGGAGTTTTCTTTATTTCTATTAGAAGTATTGTGTCGAAATACACAACATGGTGGTCATTCCCAACGTTTCTGACAACAGACACATCCTTTTTTCTTGAATTTGACAGGCAGCAGTAGTCTTTTTTAGTAGTAATAATAACAGAAGTAGCAGCAGTAATATTTATTGGGTATGCACTTACATTCAAGCATAGTATAAGCAAACAATAAACATCATGAGACAATATAAGCCAGAATCAACAGTGAAGCAATACAGTAATCACTTTAAAACATCTACTGTCTACTTTTACGTGTTCAAAAGAAGGAGTTCTCCCACTCCATTTTTCAACATATGGGGATAAGCCCAGAGGAATGACTCAAGTAGAGATGCAACAAACAACTTTCTTTGAAATAGTGTAATTTTGCCATGGCTCTAGTTTGTGAAGGATCAGATACAGAAATGCAGCAAATAGGTCTGAGCAGAGGGTAGTTTGAAAGGGGAAATCCTGACGATTAATCACACAGAGGGGTTGCAGTATCCTCTATTAGTGGTAACTCACTCCTTTGTTTCTTAGAGCTCATAGCTTCCACATAGCGCACTGCTTGGGAATTGGTCATGCTGTACAGTAAAAACAGGAAAAAGCAATGGTTAGGGAGATAAATAACTACCTCCCACTACAAATCCATGGACTGTTCATTAGCAACCCATGTATGATTGGACAATGTGGCATAGCTCTCCCTTCAACGTTAATGTTATTTTACTGCAATGCATTGCACTGCATAAAAGGGAAAGAACAGTACACATACACATTGTTCGAATTATATGACCCACAGTCAATGAAAAACTTTAGAAGTATGACAGTGGGGACTGGTTTCTCAACCATGGATTTGAAGAACTATTTTGTATGTACAGTATGTATGTATATATGTATGTATGTATTCCTTTAGCTAATTTCATCCAGACTATTATATTGCTGGGAAAATATTTGTTGTTTGTTTAATTTTATTAAATTTATAAGGCTGCCCAACTCTACAGGGACTCTGGGTGGTCAGTTGATGCTTTTTAAATATTCTACAATAATTGCCTGCCTGGAATTGAATAGCCAAGTTCAATATTTGGCAGTTTAGTTTAGGAATAATTTAACAGTTGAATGCTATTTATTATTTCATTCCATCTACTAGCACCACAGAAAGAAAGGTCAAACTGCTTTATAAAGTATCAGACAAATAGTAAGAATTCAACATGTTTAACTAAGCTTCTGGCAATCTACTTTCATAAAGAAACAGTTTGATTTCATAAACATGGTAATGTTTTAGCTGGCCATATACAACCAGATACTGATCACTGATAGCTAAAACTGACAATATCTAATCTGTGAGTTTTATTTTGCTGACGAATGTACAGGAAATGTAGATTCTTGAATTCTGATCTATCTGCAAATTATAGCTGTTACACACATTAAACATGTGCACATCTAAAATATTATTTCTGTTACTATGTCTGACATGGTTTTGGACAGGCTGTTGTAAGTGGGACATGAGGCTTTTTAAAGCATGAATAATGAGTGAGTATTGCTTGCTCTACATATTTGAAAACAGAGCATTCCTTGGAAAAAGCTTTACCTGAAATATACTATATGGAAATAAAATATACTGTATTCACCTAATTTGAATGCTATTCTAATTATAGCTACATAAGCTTAATTAGGCTTTACATACGGTAAAACATAATTAGTCTGTGAGTTTACTGTAATTAACAGACTAACAGTTAATCAGATAACCAGAGCAATAAAAGAGTTTAAAGTGGTTTTGCAAACCAAGGCTTGCACTAATTGTGACCTGTAACAAAGTCTGAACAAAACATCATTATGGCTGTCACTCCACATCTGGATGCAGCTGCAACAAAGAAGCCAAATGAGAAAAAAGCAGAACAAAAACAGATTCAGATCATGGTTTGCCTTTATATTTGTTCAAGCCATGGACTGCCCTTATATATGGATCAAACCATATCCACTTAAGCTTTCACACAAAGCCTTTATCAATTTCCAATTGCAGAAAACATCTAGCACAGCAAAGTGGATTGGTGAGCATTCAGCAATTAGTAACAGATGACAGTTCAGGTAAACATATTGTACAAAGAAATTTGCTTTAATTAATATTTACAGAAAATGATCTGTGTCTAAGGAGCCATTTAACAGATTCACTATTTGCCTTAAGCTTTGCAATGTTTTGAAATACAAAAAGTCAGTAATCTTCCACTGTAACTTAGCTGATTTTGTCAAATGCGCTATAAATGAGTATTTGTATTTTTTTAAAAAAATATTTATTTAGTTTATACATACATATTTAATCAAGACAATGTTTAATCTTAAAGAAAAAGAAAATTAAAAAAATTAAAAATACAAGTTAAGAAAAAAAGAAGGAAAAAGGGGAAAAAAAGTTTTAAAAAGTTGTTCCCCCCCCCCCCCAGTATTATGTACAGTATTTCGATCAATAGTTACAATCAAATGTTGACTGCTGTTCAAGTATTTTGGATGTCATAAGCTGATGCTGAGTTTAAAAAAAAAAGGTACATAATAACTGCACTTTTAAAGAAGATTGCTTAAAAAAAGTCACAAAAAATTCTGAAGAGAAGTTGGATGCATAAATTTGCCAAATGAAAGAAAATTCAGCTATTACTTCATTCAGCGAGCATGCCAGGAAAACTGATGAAGCAATTTAACAACCTACTTGACCATGCCGTCAGTGTCAATAAAGGGCAATTTTATCTCAGGTAATGAAAACAAAGGTAATAACCACAGCACGGTTCTAGAGAGGAATCTAAATGTCACATGTGGTTAATCAGCTGTTTTGATCAACTTAAATTGTATACATTATTTTTTTGATGTTTCATCAACCTGCTTTTATATTTTGATAGTTGGTTTATATTCAACTGTTCACTGTCTTAGATAACATATGGTAGCAAAGCTGGATACAAATTTAAGGAATAAATAAAACACATCAGAATCATAGTCTGTACTGTACCTATACTTACATAAGTATACATCTACTTATACTTACAGCATCCATGTAAGTTAACTGTTCTGCTACAAGGTCTTCTGGGAAAGAAGAAAATTCTTCTGATCCACTAATCTCTGTTTTTTCTTCAGTCACAAATATATCGTGAATCTCACCTGTCAGGATATAATAATATTGTGAGAATTGACAAAACTTATCTTCTGATCCCACTTCATGTAGGTCTAATTGAAGTTGGATCTTGTGTTGAAAGCTAGTTTGAGACAAAATGCAAGTTTATGGTTTCAGTCACAAAAAGAGTGGAAGGGGAAAGAAAAGGCGTGGACAAACCAGGAGACTGTTGGCGTAGGAAAACAAAACACATCATTTTAAATGTTTAATGAGAATACCCATTTCTCTAGGTGAATGTTTCCTAAACAGGAAAGAAAAAAAAAATCATACATTCGCAAAGCAGGAGCGTAGAAGAAGAATGCTGTTAGATGGGACTTCTTTCATCCTGCACTGATTCACTTCAAGAAACAGGTAAAGAGCTCTGCTTAAGTGGAGCAAGCTGCCCAAAGAACATAAAACATCACCCATCAAGCACTTGTACATAATCTGCTGAGAAGACTGGCTACTAGGCAGAGTGAGAGGGCCACCTCCAGTGATAGATGGTGGGAAGCAGCAGAGAGGTGTTAGAGGGAGAAACTGTGAGTGCATGGTGGCAATGATCTTTATATTATTTATACTTTTTTACATGAGTATGCTCAGAACATCCAAAAGGATTATAAACAGCCTGAAAATAACCGTTCTAGAAATCAGATGGGTTGAGGAAGTAATTGAGTGAGGCAATGAAGTCAATGGCATGCACATACAATCAGAAACACTACAGAGCATTAATTTATGAAAAAGTCATTTTATTTCTCCCTACCTTACACTTAATTTTTAATAACCAGGATAGCAGACAAGCCAGTGGCTTGGAATCTATGCAGGGCTTCCTGAGCACATCCTTACTTAAATCAGTGTCAGCTCTTCTAGCAAGAGCAGACATATGAAGAGAAAATTGCTAGAGTCCTTGATTTAACATAAAGGACCCCCAGTTAGTTTTGTTTACTTAGCTTTCTCCTTAATTTGCTGTTCCATGAGCCTGTTCTCTCAGGCAAAGTTGTTGAGAAACAAACTGCCCTAGAGCCTAAAGTTAGGGCCCTTAAATTGTAGACTAACCAATTTATTTTAGCACATTCATATTTGGCAATTGACAACGGGCAGCTTTCTAAGTCTATTGAAGCTCCCTGAATTTGGCAAAAAACACATGAGAGGAAATAATCCATGACAGCTGAAAAGGAAACATGCTTGCATAAAGTAGATGCTGATCAGGTCAGTAGAATGCCTTAGTAAATATGATGCTGACTTCCATTTTACATAGGATAGAGTTTTCAGGAATCTGGTAAGTTGAAGGGGAGACAATGGATAGAGGCAGATAAATTCAGAATCACTACACAGTGTTAATCTTTCTTGCTAAAATTGGCTTATGAGTCAGAAAATAAGTATATTTTCTGTTACTGAGTCAAAAAATGCCTTAAAAAAAAGAAGGGTTTCAGAACATCTTTGCTTCTAAAAAGAACCAAGCATATTATTGTTGTATCCATCCCTGACTTTAAGGAATTCCATGGAATAGGCAGGAGATCGTCCTACTTTCCCCCAAAACTTACAAGATACCTTAGGGAAAGTGATGTTGTCTTGCTCAAGACCTGTCAATAAACCTCAGGGCTGAGCAAGAATTTGAGTATCTTTCAGTCTAACTTTGGACTGTGAAAGAATAGGGTATATGAATACAATAAGAGCAGGAAACCATCTCTTCCCATACTAGATTCAATATTATGACCACAATATCATACTGTCCCTAGATTCCTCTCTTTTACAGTTCATAGAGAATTACTATGGTCTTGTAATTTTGCCAAGAAAAAGAAAACGGAAATGGACAAAAGTGACTTTTAGTCTAATTCTCCATTGCAGGACCATGAATACTTATTTCTCAACTATTCCTCTCCCGTTCATGAATCCAGCCCCATCTTTTTATATTTGTCCCAAATATATACATCAGTTTCTTTTTATTTCTTTTTTCTTTTAAACTTCCACAGACTTCTCCTTTTGATTTATCCTATGCTTCTGTAGCACAGTTATGACTGTGATACAGAAACATTTTTCAAGTAGACCATGTGTGAAGTATATTACTCGTGCGTATGTGGTGAAAAGTTCCTTAACCAATTCAACTTAGTGAAACGTCAAAGCGGTAACTAAGATCCGACAAGTTATTTGAGCTTCTGTGAGAGGTCTCCTCAGGCCCAGTGGAATTTAATTTCTTGCTTCCTCTAAATAGCCAACTTGCACGTTATATCAAAAGCTACCTTGGTTACAGTATCTCAGAACCCTCTCTGCTTGGGGCAATGAGCTGAGTGCTGCTATTCAAAGTACAAAATTGTTGAGAGCTCCTCCCTCATCTCAGAGAATTAATTTCATTTGAAATGTGACCTCTATTTTATGCAGACTGCCTAAATTGGTAAACATTTCTGAAGTTTTAGAAAGCATTATTAATAGGGAAACAACTTCTACTTGTTCTATAGCTTCTGTTTTCTGAGATGAACATCACTGTCAAATATTACACAAGCTACAGCAATTCCTGTATTTTTCCTGTGAAACCTGTATCTGCATTTAAACTTCCTTAATGTGTTGAAAATCTGGTGTGAGGGTCCTCACTGAAACATCTTAGATTCAGCTGAGGTAATGTTCCATCTTTACAATGAGATATTAAAAGGTAAGACTTCTGTACCTAGACCAGTGTTTCTCAACCATGGCAACTTTAAGATGTGTGGACTTCAACTCCCAGAATTCCCCAACCAGCCATGCTGGCTGGGGAATTCTGGGAGTTGAAGTCCACATATCTTAAAATTGCTAAGGTTGAGAAACACTGGCCTAGACTATCTACTGTGCCTAGAAGTTCTGTGGGAACTTTTCACTCTGTAAACAGCTAATTATAGATCTTAGCATTTAGACTTCCTTTGTTTGATATGCAGGAACCATATCCAGAAAAAAACAACATTAGGCACAAATGAACAACCTTAGGAGATTTTAGAAGTTCAGATGAGAAGAACCATTTAGGTTTAATGCAGCTTTCCTTTGGGGGAAAGAAAGTACATTTATTTGGTGCCAAGACTGACTACTGCGTAACTCATAAGTTTTGCAACATTCAAGTAGATGATATTCAAAGGGAAAAAAATCCTGATCTTTATTGTGTTCATTCCTTATTGTGTGCTATCACTTCCTATCCATTTCCTACTGCCTTTCTGTGAAAACTGGACATTCATTTGGTTGTGTTCATGGGGGAAGTTCCAATGGCTTTCTAGCTATGCTAATTATGCCCATAGGAAACTCTCTGTCTTGGGGGAAGGGGAAACGCTATTTATCAGGCCTGACACTGCACACAGCATTCCAGTGTCACTACTGTTCACAATTGTTCCAGTGGCATTTTGACCTGCTAACGTAAATTTTCCTTTTGTCCTCGGATGTCAGCAACAGACCATTCAGATAGGAAAAAACAGTCACAGACGCTTCCTTTGTCATGACAGGAGCAAAGGAAAGTAAGACTAAAAAAAAAAAATCCCTGTTTGGTCACAGGAGAGAACAATTTTAAAAGTGAAAAATCAGAGCAACAGTGAATTTATTTTGAAAACTTGCAAACTGCACTGAAGCCGATAGTCATCTCAGAGCAGCATTTTAAATGTTCTCTTGGAAGCATTAAGGGAGCTTACTTGGCAGGAGTGCTTGGCTTCTCACCCTCCTGTGGAGCAAAATCAGGAAATGGATTCACCAAGCACACTAAATTCAAAGTTTGCAATCCACATTTCCTTTGGTTCCACGCTATTCTAACTGATACCACAGCATAAGAAGCGCCCAAACAGCCCAATGATATACAGTAACCGGCTTCATTATAAAAAGTGGCTGTTAAAATGTTTGCGGAATATCCTTACTGTTGTTTACTCGTTCTTGCTTCTGAAAGTGCTCCAAGAGTTGTTGCGCCCTTCTTTCGGGGTCCGAGCCTGGCATGATCCTGGTCAGATAATCCAGCAGTTTCTGCAAACAAAGGTAATGAGGTGGTTCTTGGAAGTCTTCAGAGCATTGGTCTAACCAGGCTCTCAGTATTGAGGCTATGGCACTGCAAGAGAAACGCATTGTATACAGTCAGCTACATCAGCATCAGCATATTCCAGGAAGCAACATAACCTAAAACCCCCAAATAGGTTAAAGAAGTTATTACAATTGAACAGAAAGAAACAATATTACAATTATTACAATTGCCCTCACGAACAAATATCCTTTTCTATGTCTTTTTAAAATTTTTATTTTAAAATTTTTTTTAATTTAAAATTTTAAAAATTTTAAAAAATTTAAAATTTTTAAATGTTTATGTTTTTTTTAAAAAATAGAGCTGTGTATAGTTTACAAGCCTAACCATCAGAGCCATTAACATTTTTTAAAAGAAAAATTTAAACTAGAGTTGAAGACATACATACAAATCTGCGAGGTTAAATAATACCGAACCATTATTACTTATATTTGATCAAACACTACCAATATAATAACTACTATATGATCAAATTTTATCAGGAATAAGAGAGCCGTCTTACCAAATATCTAATTAGGTGAGCATGATTCTTTTACTATTTCTACTATTATGCTTTCGGAGAGCCATTATTGAAATATTCCCTCAGAATGAAAGATTCTGTATTTGCAGATTCTGTTGTATTATATTACTTAGCATTGATAACATTTGGTGGAAAATTATTCGGAATATCTCCGCTGTAAAGACTTACTGATCAATTAAGCCAAAACCTGCATTTCTGTTAGTCATGGGGGGGGGGGAGAGAAATGGGGGTTAGCTTTGCATTTATGAATGCAAGGGTGTGGCAAAAATGTATGCATATTGATTATTCTTATGAGAACTGAACTAGCATCTCTTATGACAGATGCATAGCTAGGCCATCAATAATGAAATATCAACCAGTCATCTACAAAAATGTTTTATCCTTGAAAAATGCTCTCAGTTTTCTGGATACATTTCTGATATGAGCCACTATTCAGAAATACCTTTCCACTTTTTAAACTCTGATCTTCTCCTGGCTTGCTCTCTGAGTCTGCTATTATTTTAGTAACAGCATGCATTTTAACATTCTTCTGTGTGTTCATGAAGGAACATATACATATTATCTATCTTATGAATGCTTGCAAGTCTGCTTTCTTGGAAAATGGTGAAATTAAAAAATATCTCAAATGATTATGGTTCTGAGGCCCTGAATGAAGCACCTCACAAATCATTTGTAATAAACTGGGGTGGCTAATACTAACTGCATGTGGGGTTTTGTGTTTTATCACTTACTAGTGATAATATGTCCTTTGCTAGTCTCACTTCTGTACCTGACTGTATAAAATGTTGGTACACAAGATTTCTAATAGAAATGTTCTTTTCCTTAATAAGACTACAGTACTTACTTAACCCTTACACCAGCGTGCATATATGCTTGTGTATATTTGTAGAGAATAGGGAAGGAGTTGCCGTATCATCAATAAAAACTGCAGATGCCACTAAAATTGGCATAAAAAGGTGCACCGGTGTTTCCAATCTACACTAGCTTATCTGCTTTCTTTAGGCAAATGCACATGGATGGGAGTGTATAAGCCTCAATATTATCCACTGAACTGATTAACTTTCCTGCCATTGCCAAGCTCTTTTTACTTGTAAAACATTTGAAAGAATTAACAGATAGGAAAATAATATAAGAAAAAGACAATGGTTTATTAACAAGACATTTTAATGCATTTGGAGATATTAAAATGTAGTGATTATCTCCAGTTAAATGAGAAATTGAAAATAACCTATATACTGCATGTGTGTGTGTGTATGTACACATACATACACATATACACTTTGTAACTGCAAGTCCATTATATGTAAAATAAATACCCAGCTTTCCTCATATAAGCTGCCCTTCTGCTTTTTATTTCTGTTCTCTGTCAGTCCAGGAGCATGTATATTTTGCCCATGAAAGGAGGCAGATCTGAATATCTGCCAGCCTTTGCATTTTGAGAACTTAGTTTTTTGTCCCAGAATGCCTCATGTTAATTTGACTATTACTGCACTCAGTCTATGCACTCCATATTGAGGAGGATTCTAACACTGCCAACATCATGGTTAAAAGAGCCGGTCTTCAGACTTTATTTCTTCTGTCCTGCTTTTTAAACTATCTTACCTGGTGAAGAAGTCTGGATAACCTGGAAGCTTCTTCTTCTTTTTTTTTTTCCTGAAATTTTGGTTGGTTTTTAACTAAGGCACTGCCCAGTTATGGGTGCGGGATGTGATAGTTCAATATGTGCAAATATCTATTGGAACATACCTATGAACCACTTAAGCTAGATTAATAGTCTTTCTTTCTACACAAAGAACTTGGGAACTATAGCTTTGTGGAGGAAGCCTGGAATTTTTCAGTACATTCAGTGAATTGACCGAATTATTATTCATGCTTGACAACTTTCACTCAGTCTCCAACATCTGTTTCTTGGGGAAGGTTGTTGGGAAGGTGGTGGCAAAAACAACTTGAGTATCCTAGAGAATACACATTACCTAGATCCTTTCCAGTCGTGATTTAGGGCCAGTCATGGAAACAAAATGGCACTGATCACTCAGATGAATGATCTTTGTCAGGACCTAGACAGGGGGAGTGCACCCCTCTTGGTCCTACTAAATCTCTCAGCAGTGTTTGATACCATAAAGCATGATATCCTTCTGACCTGCTTGCAAAGGCTGGGAGTTGGGGGTACTGTTTTAACAGTGGCTTCACTCCTACCTGAGTGGGCCATTCCAGCCAGTGGTCATGGCAACACTTGAGCTCCTGAGAATTCCAGTGTGGGGCTCTTCAGTCTCAATCCTCAGTGCTCACAATGGGAGATCATCCATCAATTTGGGGTGAGATGTCATCACTATGCTGATGACAATCAATTATATACTGCCAACCCAAGCCAGGGTGGAGGTCCTGAAACAGTATATTTGAGGATTTGGATAGGGTCAAACTCAGACTGAACCTCTGACCCCCCCCCGAATACCATCTCCCCAGAACTACATATTACCCCAATCCTGTTTGCATTTCTCAAACAAGTTAAAACTTTGTTTGAGCATGCTTTTGGCCCTTAGTTGTTTCTTGGTGCCTTGTCCTGTGTTTTACTTTTTTTGTTTAGTTTTTAGATTGTATGTTTTATCTTGTTCTTACTTGCCCAGAATCTTGTCAGGATTCGGGCGGGATATAAATATTGTAAAATAAATAAATAAATTATAAGATGTGCTGAGGAAAGCTATGTCAGCTGAACCATGAAACTGATACAAATCAGCTATGTAAACATGTCCCCAAAGTTGCTATCCAAAGAAAAGGAATAAGGGAAGTACTAAAAAAACCTCCTTTCTCCGTTCTCACACAAAACTAACTTTTAAGCATCACACTATACAGCATTCTGTTCCAATACACTGTGCTAAAAATCTCAGTTCTCTTGCAGAATTTCAGGGCTGAATCACATCATCAATATCAAGTGGAGGCTTTTCCTAGATTTCTGTCTGTAACTAAGGTCTCTTACGCATAATAGCAGGCAAGTACAACTGAAGTTGAAAGACTGACTGTTCTTGTTATTCTCTGAAAAGGAAACCCAGAATGAAAACAAAAAGCATATAAATCCTGTAGTTTTAAGCTCAACACCTCACTGTGACGATATATGCACTGCAAAGAGCAGCAGAAAAGTACTAGTCAAACAAATGTCCCATCAACAAGTTGTTGCTGACATGATGATGGGAAACACTTCTGTCTTGTTTTCTTTCTCTACGGTATGCACATTCCACACTCACGACCACTCTGCCTTAGCACAGCCTTTATATAGCAACTTCCTGATACATTAAAGTACAACACTTAGGAATTTTGGGCAGCCTGGACAAAGCCCATGCTGCTGGGAATACTGGGAAGTGTAATCCTGTCCATTTGGATGCCACAAGGCTGAAGAAAGTTGTCCAAGGATGAGAATGAGAATCTTAATGCTGTGCCCCAATTCTCATTTATGAATGCAGTATTTTCCAGTACGGGGTGCTTCCAAACATTGGGATTCATCTCCCAAAATTAAATAGCCGGCAAAGTTACTGCTCCAGATTCTAGAAGTTGAAGTCCAGATATCTGGAAATTCCTTGATCAGCAAGCACCATATTAATGTGCTTCTAAACATTTTGGTAACAAACCATTCTGACAGCCCCCCAAAATATCAATCATTTGGCTTAACATTAATGAAGGGGATGTACAGGGCTGGGAAAGATTATAGCTTCTAAAAAGCATTAATGAAAGATTTGAAGGAAGGAACTTGACTCATGCAGTATAAATTTCACCTCTGGTAAACAGACATTTAATCCTGTCTCTCTCAAAAATCTGCAAAACCTATTTGTTTAAGGACGTGGGTATGAATGTTACATGACATTGAATTTCTGTACTAAGTCTTTCTTAATGACTCTTTAGAATCATATGGTTGTGTCCTTTATAGAGCAGGCTTTCCTTTTTAAAGGTGCTGTCAGCTTGAAGATCTGTCTGATCTTTGTTTTGCTTAAAGACAGAAAATCATAAAAATGGGGAGCAGAAGCTTGGATGTTGTCTACCAACAGTTAACAAAGAACAGGCTGAGCATTCACAAAGGTCTCCTAGTCATTGTCTTTCACCATGGTACACTGTGTCTATGTATGTAACCTTTTTATGTATAGATTTACAAGCAATTATTTGCACACAACTAAACATTGAAATCACTGTAACAAAAATGTGCGTGAATCTTTTTTTTCAGAAATGTGTAAGTGACCACTCTACTCAGTAAGAGAGACAGTCTTTCTCCAGCAGATAAGATTCCAGCTAACCCAGTGTAGTACCCATGTTATCAGTTAACATACACAGTACAAGCATTTCAATATGGAGCAGAGTTAAACATACTTTACTGTTTGGAAGATGTGCAGTTTCTCCCTTTGTACTCCACTCAGAAAGAATGTGGCTGTTACCAACCATAAGACACATGGCTGCACTCTTAGCAGAGTTCAAAGTTACAATAAGCTCTGGGTTTCCTACAAAATA